ACTGTAAAATCTCCATTCCCTCCCCACTCCAGGGGAAGGTTACTGCAAAATCCCCATTCCCTCCCGATCATCTGGGACTCGGGAGGCAGAGAATAGATGGGGCGGGGCCAGCCACAGATGGTATTTACCGGTTCTCCTAACTAATCAAAATTTCCATTACCGGTTCTCCAGAACTGATCAGAACCTGCTGAATACCAAGTCCGGTATACATACATATATACAACACCATATACATCAGCAAGTATTGTAAGCCCAATTGACAAAGGAAAGATCAGGACCATATTGGTTAGAAACAAGCAGAAGAGGCATTCATCCTGCAGTGGATAGGTGATGATGATGATGATGATACATATACATATATGTAGCCCTTGACGTATAACCACAATTTATGTTGCTAAGCAACACATTTGTTAAGTGAGTTTTGCCCCATTTTATGCCTTTTCCTGCCAGAGTTGTTAAGTGAATCTTAACTTACATTGAGCAAGGAGTTGGACTTGATAGCCTCAAGGGCTCTTTCCAAGTGTGCAGTTGTAAGGTTCACCACCTAGGATGTATTGCTGATGCGAATTAGAGGCATTGGTTAACATCCACTCCTAGTCATTCTCCACCAAATAGATTTATCTTTATGTTCTTGATAAAGGAGGTGTTCTTTGCTTTGTCCTTTATAACAATTTTAACAAAAAAAAGGAAAGACATTGAAAGTTACATAATAAAATAAAATGTTTCTTTCCTCACAGCAACTCCTATTAATTTTGAAAAGTACAAGCATTTGTGGTTGAATCAGGAAAAATGCCTAAAAAATATTTTCCTAAAAGCACAACAGAACTGTCAAATGCATAAAACTAATTACATCCTATGTGAAGGAATGTCATTTATTAGACAATCAAGGCACCTTATTGTGAGTGTCTAATTGTTCTCTATTGTGTTAAAAAAGCACCTCTCCATGTTTAACTCGTTATTTGCAGATTATATTAAATATTTCCTGCTCTGAGAAAGACTATGCAGTTGCATTGCAAACACTTTTTTTCCCCCTTCCATCCAATTATGGCTGATTTTTAGAGATTGCTTTGACAAGTCTCTACAGTTTTCTTGGCAAGATTTTTCAGAAATAAATTGCCATTGCCTCATTCCTCAAGTTTGCCTCAACAAACTTGAACATTGGGCACTATCTAATAAAATGAAGTTCAATGGTGAAAAGAGTGAGGTTCTACATTTAGGCAAGAAAACTGTAATGCATAGGTACAGTATAGTTGGTACCTTGCTCAATAGTAGTAATTGTGAGAGGGGTCTTGGAGTCCTAGTGGACAACCATTTAAATAGGAGCCAGCGG